CGTGGACCGATGGCACCTCTCTCTAACCGCCAGGCCCAGGGCCACGCACCCTGCAGCATGGAGCTGGCACCGTGCCCTCTTGCCAAGCTGGCAGCATGGCAAACCCACTGTCACCTTCCCGGCTGCGACATCCCCCAACCTGCCTGCTTGCCAAAGTCACGCTGACCCCCGTAACACGGCAGCACGGCGATGTCTCCACAAATGCCACGGCCACCCTGCGGCAGCCGTGGTGGGGTCACACCCCACGCTGATGCTCAGACCTCAGGCATCACTGGGCTGTTTCACCTCTGCATTTCCCTGCACCATCCAGAGGCAGAAATTCTTGTGAAATAAGAAAAGTTTGTCCTCACCTCCAGCTGTGTGGATGGACATACCAGCACTGTTGACATGGTGCAGGACATCAATTTGTCCACATGCCGGAGCAGGCAGAAAGTCCTGTGCACTGGAGGGGGACAAACCTCCATGCAGGGCGCTGGGGAGCAGAGAGCCAAGAGGTGACATCCCAACATGTCCTGAGGCTGTACCAGCCCCAAGGCTCCATCCGGATCCGCTTTTGGGGTGCTGCAGCCCCCTGACCCCGCCCCTCAGCTGGCACTGGGCTCCTAAGCTCCTGCATGCATCCATCCGCGCTCCTCCTCCTCACCCCTCCCCAGCCTCGTACGACCATCCACCACCACAAGCCAGCACCACCGATGCCCGGCCGCAGGACTGGAGTCCGAAACCCCGCAGCCCCTGGGCTGAGCAAAGGGAACATCCCGGGCGGCCTCTCCTTTTAATTGGTGCTAATTGCTGCGTCTGTTCGTGCTGGCTGGGGAGATGTCATTGTTGAAAGGCACAGAGGGGAAGGCTCGGGGAGCTAATCCAGCTTTCAGCCGCTAAGCCCTTTGGAGGCGGGTGATGGAGAAGCTCTTTCAGGTCCCTTCAGAGAGGGCACAAAGCCCGAGAGGGGAAAGGGAGAAAGAAGGGGAGCAAATCAACAGGAAAAACTACTTTCACACGCAGCTCGGGGAAGGGTCTTTGTGCGCGGGGCTTGTCAGGAGGGAGCTTGAAGGGACCGCGCTGCACCCCCCCCTCCTCTGCTCTCCCTCGTTTATCTTTTCAGCCCCATCTGCCAAAAGGGTGATGCAGCTGGGGGCAGGGATGCTCAGGAGCATGGCCCTGCGGAGCAGGACCCTCACCCTGTGATGGACAAGATGGACAGACGGACAGGAGATCTGCGGATGCTCCCCCAAAATGAGCTTCCTCTGGTTTAACCCCTTTTGTGCTGGCAGAGCCACCTCTGCCGTCATCACGCTGCGTGACTGGAGGATTCGGCGGCGAGGAGGATGGGGCGTGAGGTGCCACAAGGGAGGCAGCCATTGGGTCGGGGTCCTCCTTTTGTCCCAGGGGTTTCCATGGGTCACCCACCAGCCAGAGCCCTCCCCTGCCCGACCTGCCGGCAGCTGGAGGCAGCAGCCGTGGGCAGGGTGTAGAGTTGAGGGGTTTTTTTTTTTTCTTCCAAGCTTTGCTCCAAAACTCATCTTTCTGAGACAAGAGGGAAAACGCAAGGCCTGACACATTCCCAGAGGGCATGAGGTGGCTTAAAGCATTGGCTCCGGCACTTGCTTTGAATCTGCTGCCTTTTTAGACATTCTTAGAAGAAATCCCCTGTAACGTATATATATTTAAGCCGACAGCTGGGATCTCAACAAGACATCGATCACAAATACTAACAAGTCCCTCTGACCTCTGGCACATCCACTGAGCCTTTCAGGGGCTGATTAATGGTACAGCTTTCCCTTGTCTCCATCCTCCCGCCACCCCCTGGGACCTGGGCTCCGGTCCAGGAGGAGCGAGAGGCTGTTTCTCCCTCTCCCAGACCTTCACAGGGCTCTGGCATCCCCCAACCGCATCCCGGATCAGGACAAAAGGCAAAAACCTCCACCAAAATCCCACAAAGAGTCATGAGCGGGACAGCCAAGCAATGCCAGTTTGATGTTTTGGAAAAGTTTCATTTCGATGACAATATTTTTAACTCATGGAAACCTTTGCAAGGACAGACAAGCTAAAACCACCAGGCAAAGCACCATGCCAGACCGAACGCAAATGATAAAATGTTGCATCGGGGTATCTCAAATATTTCCTTAATCTCTGCCAGGTTTTGCTGCCTGCTCCCTGCCCCAAAGCACATCTTGCAGGGGACCACCATGACTCCCCCTCCCAGCGCGGGGGTGACTGGTTTGCTGCCCAAGGGAAACCCAAGGATGCCCAGCCAGGCATCCCGCATCCCACACCGAGGTTTGCTGATGATCTGGAAGGCACCGGTGATTTTTTGGTGGGTTTTAGTGCCTTGGCTCATGGCCAAACCACCGCACCTCCAGAGGGACACCCACAGCAGAGACTGGGCAGACGCTTGAGCCTTTCCCAGCCCTCCGGCAATGGGGGTGCTCCCCAGCATCTCCGGACAAGCACACTCCATCGCTATGGCTCAGCACCCATCACATCCTCCCCCAGTGACCCACTTTGCCGTTTCAGCCCCGGGAGAAAAAAAAAAAAAAAAAAAAATTTAAAAATCACGCACTCGTTGGCCTCCCGGGCCGTCGCTCTCTGCCAGGGCCGGTCGTAGTGGAAGGGCTTGCAGCGGTCGCACTCAGGACCCTCTGTGTTGTGCTTGCAGTCGCACACCAGCTTCTGCTCCTTGTCCTTCACGCAGCGCGCCGCATGCCCGTTGCACTTGCAGCGCCCACCGACCTGCAGCTCCCCAACAGCATAGTAATAGGGGGTCGAGCCGGTGCCCCCCTCCTCCTCGCCAGCATCCCGACCACCCAGGTCACGGAAGAGATGCGGGCGGCTGAAGACCACGCGGATGTCGGTGGCTGTCACCCAGTCCTGGAGCACGGGGCTGCTGTCGAAGTCCTGGGCGGAGGGGCGCCCATCAAGGGTGCTGAATGCGATGAGCCCCCCTGCTGAACGCGATGAGCCCGCCGGTGAGGGGGTAGAGGTCAGTGAGGCCATCAGTGCAGAGGGCCTCCTGCTCGTTCTGCTTGGTGACGGTGGCTTTGCTGGGCTTGCCGTAGATCTTACGGCACTGGGAGGAGTAGTACTGGTACGGCACCCAGGTCTTGCCGTAGTCCATGGACTTGAGGATGGCGGTGGACTCGGGCCGGGGTGAGCAGAACTGGAGGCTCACGTAGACCACCTCAAACTTCTTGCCGAGGGAGAGAGTGAGGGTGACGTTCTGGGGCGAGTGGTGGAGAGTCTCCGAGCGCCAACACGTCATGTTGGAAGCGGTGTTGAGGTCAGTCAGGTAGGCAGGCGGGTGGGCTCGGGGGGGGGGGGAGGGCGTGGGGCTGCGCGGCGGTGG